GGGGTCAGCTCAATCGACGATGCTGCAGGTCTAGATGTGGTACCTTCATAAAGGTGGCGTTCAAGCTCATCGAAGCGACTCTGCGAAAGACCAATGGTCAGATGGATCAGATGATCACCTGGCGCGGGCCCCAGATTGGACCAGGCCCTCGGAGCAGGGTGGAAGTCTTTGACGATTAGGTCGGAGCGACGGGTAACAGGACCAGCAGCAACGAGAGAGGGTTGGAAGCAGCCCAGAAGAGACAGTGCTGTAGCAAGCATGGTGGATGCTTGAAGATGGGCCATGCTTTGGACTCTGGTTGGGGGTGACACACGAGACCGACCAACCCAACGACGAGAACGAGCGACGAGGAAGAGCGAAAGAAGCAGTGAGGTTCCTTGGAAACAGCAGCTGCGAGTATTTATCTTTATTCCTGAGCCTCGATCCAAATGAAGCGGGCACATAGGCCTGGTCCTTGTGCATCCATGTCCGCTTCACAGAGCTAGAGCAACGTCATGTAGCATCGTATGATTTGCTATCCTGCCTCATTGGACGTAGCTCCGAGAGATAGACAAGCATTAAGGTGGCATCCGGAACACAAGCATCCACCTTCGATCGCTAGCCCTTGCATTATTGAGGCGGAGGAAGTGTGGAATTGGAAGGTGACTTTCACCATCGAGGATTGCCTACGAGGCAAAGGATTGGATGACACTTCAATAGCTTCTTGATTAAGCATAAGGATAGAGGGGAAAGCTGTTTGGTGAGATCGACATTGTGGCGGATACGACCGCGCAGGGGAGGATCGCCGCTGTGCCAATTGGCGGAGAGATAAGCTCCGTCAATGTGGAGATGACTGGCATGGAACGGTGAGACGGTTCTTTGGACGCGCGATGGATGCAAATGTGGGAGTCGTTTTGTCGAGATGCTACCTGGAGGATGTCGTGACCCCCTGGATTCCTGACTGTCATTGGCAGACGGTGTGAGATGTGCGCAATCTTAGCGAAGTGAATGAAGATACGAAGGTCCCCATACCGGACGCATCATGCATGACGCCGCCACCACCGAGGACAGACAGCTGCTGGTTACACGGTCAAGAGTGAAGAAGCAATCTCGTCTCACCCAGCACGGGAATCAGACTGTAATCTGCTTGTGGTGGTAGTTGTGAGAATATCAAACGAGTAACAGGCGGTTTGCAAATAAAAGGGGAGAGGGAAGAGCTCAAGTGGTTGAAGCATCAAGAGTGAAAAGCGCAGGCCATCAGGCTGATTGATGGAGGGTCCCGGACATCCTCCTGGTTCCGTTGCAGGCTGGGATCAAGAATGGAAATATGGATTCGGAGGAGTCGGTTGGTTACGGCTGCCCCCGGGCTTATTCATAGCCATACAAGTACCTATGAGCACGCTGAAGCACCTACTGTAAAGGTACCTCGCACACTGATTGCCAAGCACCTACTCAGTACAGTTACAGTACAAGCATATTCCTGGGGAGACCGTGGGGGTGTCGTCGGTGGTCGGCTAAGTAGATCTCCCTCTTCTAAGCCTCTTGCCCTATCTCGCCATTTCCCGTTTAGCCCCCATCCGCCCTACGCCTCACGCTCCTCCCATCCTTCTCTCTATCCCACCCTTCCATCTCCTCTTTGCAAGGTCACTACTCCTCTCATGCTTTTCTTCTAAGCATCAACATTCTCTTGTCTCTCGGGACCTAGTCTCATATTTCCCTCAATTGAGGGTGCACGGTTTTGAAGACTAATACAAAACAATATGGCACCACGATAAGTGACTCAACCAACAAACCTCTCTTACCAAACCTTTCGATGCCCAAGATCAACTTTCTCAGCTGAACAAGAGGCCACACCCGTCTTCACGAGGTGGCCGTGGCATGACAAGAAGGTCCCAGGCTCGATCAACGTCCAAATGACTCAAAGCATCAATGCCCTTGGAACCCTTTAGGCACCCGTCTGCCTTGCCTTGGCTGCTTGAACCAATCGTCGACCTTCCCTGCTATTCGTCTCTGGCTACAACCGGTCTGCCTTCCCAAGTCCTTTTGTCAGGCTTCGGGGACTTTGGGTCTCTTTCCTCGTGCCTCAACCCTCAAGTCTCACTCCTTTGTTGTCTGCCTGCGCCCGCCAATAAACATGTAAGTTGACCTCGTCGGCCGGCGCTTCTGAGAAGATGTTATCATCTTCTACTTTCTTAATATCTCTCAACTGTCAAACCCCTCAAGGTATCCAAATCCTTACCGCAACGCACCTTCAGCCTTGCCTCGTACGTGCAATCTGCAATTTGCATCTGGCGGCATGTGCAATCTTCTGGTCCCCCTTTGTCCCTTTGTCCTTCACTCCATTACAGCTTTCGATTATGCGTCGCCGCAAGATGTTACCCCAAATGCTTCTGCGGATGCAAAAATTCTCTTCTCCTACCTTTCAAAACGGCCGTACAAGTCCTCCCGTAAAGACGCAGGCCAGGGGCAATCCCAACCTAACCCACTAGCTTTGCCATCCCTCAAGCTTTATAAGCGCACAAATTGGCATACATGCCCATGCTTCTTCACCCGGCTCGCTATTCTACATCCCTTGCCCGGCCCCAGCCGGCCAACGTTTGGATGTGCGCACAAATACTGTGTGCGGTGCTCCTCAGCAGCCAAGCTCTTGCGCCCAGTGCGGCGCGGAGGACCATTGGATTACAACACACGGAATGACCCCTACTGGAATCGCTGCATCTTTCTAGGTGCAAGTGGAATCTTCGAACCAGGCATCGCGAACAACAGCGGGCGTGTTGATAACGGAAAACGAGCCAACCCCCAAGCGCAACCCCTACAAAGCAACTACCAAGAAGAACGAGGGGAACCCCCAAATCGTGATCGGTTGGGTTACAATGACGGCCTCGATATCCGAAGGCCATTCACCGAGGAGGCTGCTCAACGTCGGCGAGAGGAAAAGCAGGAATCTGGCTTGTCAAGAAGGACAAGCCGTTACGAGGCTGACCTGGACTCGTACTTGGATCAGACTTATGGCGGAAAAGAAAAGTGAGACATTGTCAATATTTTGATGCAGCTCCAAAGGACACGAAAATATGGGAAGCATAACGCATATGTACATGTAACATTTAATGACGGGGAATGGATATGGAGCCATGGAATGGGAATGGCTTTTCGCACAAATATCTCGTGCTCATTCTCGGTACTTTTACATACTTCTAGATACCCCACGTGACCACCACCAACCCTTCAAAGGATCTTGACGATCATTGCTTTCAACAAACCCTCAATAGCTAGCTGCCTCCAGTCTGATGTATCGGTCAATTCGCCTGAATCATTCTATGGTGGTGATGGTCAAGATGCTACTGAATCATGCCAGAACCTGAAAATGTAACGGTGATCCCCGCTCTGGTGAGCTGGCTCAGCTGTGTTGACAAAAGTCTCAGACACCTGCACCAACAAGGCGTTTCCTGCCTCCGTCGACTTCGTCCTCGGCAAAGACAACTGCCCCTTTCTCTGTCCGTAGGAACCCGTTCCAGAGCTCACGCTCCACACAGCCACCCTCTGCGACCCCTTCTTCGTTCGCCGCCACACCACGGTTTCAACGTGCGACCCCGACGGTCAGGGATGATATTCAGATCAACTTTGATGACGACGACGAGGTCGACTCGGCGATTTCGTCAAAGGACCGCTTAATCGCTACTGCTAGCGGGGGAGATATACTTGATTTCGATGACGACGAAACCCATCCAACACTCTCACCGCTGTATAGTCGAGGGGCTCGTGTGGCGGAGGACGTGGAAGAAGATGACCATGACCCCGGAAACGAATTATCATCACCTCTACAGCATCGACTGAGAGATCCCGGCCCAGTCACCAAACGACGCAAGGTATCTCACCATGGAACTAACGTCAGTGCTGCGCCCATCGCCATCTCCTCCTCTTCCCCAGAACACCACGACCTGGATGAGACTAGTTTCCAGATCGACGCCGACTCTCCCACCTCGCTGTCCGATCTAGACGACGACGGCAGCGGCCCGCCTAGAAGGCCGACAGCGGCATTCAACGACTCGTCGAGCAGGATTCCCCGCTTCAGGCCCATCCCCACGAGTGCTCGAGGCTTGACTCTACACAGCCCCGTCGTCTCGAGGACCGTCTTCAAACCACCCAGCCCAGACGACCCCGTCGCGCGTGCATCGACCGGCAGCGGCAGTGGACCCGTCCTCCCGGACATCTTCTCGCCCTCGCGCCGCCGCGGCAAGAGGGACTATCTCCCTGGCGGCAGCGCGTCGCTAGTCCGGAGTTGGGTGCTGGACATCGCGACGCGAGAGTCCCACGCTGAATCCCTCGCAGAGGAAACGCTCCGGGTAGCCCAGGTCGAGAAGGACGCTAGTGGCCGGTTCGTCCTCGTGTCCGATGACCAGGGCCACCGGTGGCTTCTGCCGGAACAGCAGCACGAGAGACCCGGTAGTGGTGGCGGCGGTGGTGGCAGCAGACGCTCCAGCCTCGACCACTCGTGGTCTGGCGTGCGTCCAGGCTCACGAATTCTCATCAAGGGCAAAGCTACCAGGTGGACTCTCGACCTGGAGTCGCAAGGTTTGGGGGACGTGGTTGTCGCTGCATATTGGGAGCCCGCCACCTCCCCGGGTTGACATTGTCTTACATTTCATCTACATATGGACTAGTACTACATGCGATCTAGAAGCAAATTGTGGAACGGCAGGATCGATATGGAATGGAATGGATCGGAAAGGGGATAACAGCTAATAATTGGCTCTTGATTGCATTCTGTTATCTCCCGTAATCGATGTAATCGATAGAGCTTGTCGTCCATATTTCCCAACATTCGTAAAAGAAGCCCAATTCCTGGGGTTTCAAACTTTGGACATGGTATTAGGGCTGGGCAAAGAAAACTGGAGCTTTCATCCTTTGACGGGGGAAGAAATATCATGCACACTGTCCTCACTTTTGATGCTTGCCTTCTCCGGTCTCGACCTCGAGTTGACGAGCCGATCCAAAGACCTGGTGATGGCAGCCACTCTTTCTCACTTGGTGGCCATGGCGCACTTGCCCAGGTCCATCTTGACGGGTTCCGCACCGGGCGAGATATCGAAGTTGAAGACATCCATGGGCAGCCCGATCGTCGTGCACGCGTTGGGAATGTCCACAATCCCTGCACGTGGCCTTCGATCGGGATGCAGCTGAGCATCAGATAGATCTGATAGTCGCTGTACCCATATCGCCGGAGGTACTCGATAACCCGCAGACAGGACTGGCGATACGCCACCGTCGCATCCATGTAGTGCTGTTTGCCGTGTTCGTCGACACTGAAACCCTCAAAGTAGATCATTCGGCCGGGCCCAAACTGTGGCTGGACAGGGCCAGGAATGTAGATGGGGGATTTCCCGCCGACCATGCCGAGTTTGCGCTGGCCGTCTTTGATCACATCGAACTTGATGGTGATGATGCCGGCAATCTCAATGGCGCCGCAAAACGAAATTTCACCGTCGCCCTCTGGGTTCCCGGGGATATGTGATTAGCGACATAGTCATCTTTTCAGAGTACAGGGAAAGAAACATACGGGAGAAGTGCAAGTCTCCCACGGAGAATTTGGCTCCCTTGACATGCACGGGTAAATACACTTTACTTCCCCGCGAAAGATTCTTGATATCACAATTCCCGCCATGTTCAGGACGCCCGGGGATCGTCCTGGCGCCCTCTTTGCCAACTCGAGCTTTCGTCTCTTCGTCGGCCGTTCCCGCATGCACGCTCCTTGGTTCAGGAGGTTGTGCCACGACGCGCTTGAGGGACGTTGTCGAGATGAGCTCGGCTTCACGCTTATTCCACTCGGCGAGGATCTCATGGGATGGTGCGCAGCCCAGGATGCCTGGATGGATAAGTCCCGCAAAGCGGACGCCGGGAATATGCCGTGAGGAACAGAAGATGCCTTCAAAGTCCCAGATGGCCTTGGCACTATCGTATAGTAACTGTTAGACAACCCAGCCCATGCTGAAGCCAGAGAAACTCCTTACGCTTCTGGATAGATCTCATCCAAAAAGCCGCCACCATTGTCCTTGTGGAACACCCCGGTGAAACCCCATGGGTGATCCTGGAAGGGCTGCACGTCTTGAATTTCCACAAGGAGAACGTCTCCAGGCTCGGCGGTCTCGATCTCAAAGGGTCCGGAAAGGTAGTGGACCTGAGTCAGGTCGACGTTCACGACATCATCAGCATCATCTGTGTTCTTGATCTGTCCGCCGGTCCAGTCCAAACACTCGATCTTAACGGTCTCGCCGTTCTTGATGGTTCCACAAAATGGTACTGAGAGCTGCATTTAGCGACGGAGACATCAGTCAAGACGCTACCTTACCATCAGGATGCCATCTGTTCTGGATAGCGTGTCAGTCGATGGTCCTCTCTCCTGCTGGTTCAGTGCTCACATGGAGATACGGTTGGTCTTTCGCAGGCTTGTCAAGATCAACCTTCAATGCAGTCCGGATTGGGCCAGGCATACTGGTTAAGAACAAGAGTCGGTCGAGGATGAATGGTGGCGCCTTGGATAACTCGTCGTTTCAATAGATAGATGTGTGAGCTGTGCTTGAGCCTGGCTGAAAGATTCGCAGGTGCTCGTTGGAAGTTTTGTCCTCATATTCCCAGAGTTGTTTACTGCTTTGCGGGGCATGACTGATCAGCAAAGGACTTACCCCTCACACAGTGATAGGCACTTGTCCGTCGCCCTGCGTTTGACCTCGTCATCAGCTTGGTTGAAATGGCTGCTGGGTGGGCTGAAATAACGTTACAGCTTATGTGGACCTTGATAAGGAGCGCCCAGGTCCAATAATGGCTTCAACCCGTCTTGTCGGTTAAACCAGGAAAGGCAGCTATGCTGGACGAACGGACGTTGGTCTCCCCCGCGTGTCTGGACAGGCTTCAAGTTACGTATGAGATACGCAGAATACCCTGCCCGATGGCTGTCGAATCATGCAAAGTATGTGTCGTTGGTTTTATCGCCAGAAGGCGGGCTTCTCCTTGTTGCGCGAGAGCACGTGACTTCCGGGTCGTGTTTCATGCAGCAAAAAGGGGCACGAGATGGCTGAAGGGACTCTTTAGGTGCTGAGGTAGCTGACAAGTTCGGATCGGACATCGAGACCATTGGCATATCTCAAGTAGTCTCCTGCTGTACTGGCGTCGACGCTCCAGTACCGTTTTTGGAGCTGCTCGAGGAATCCTTCTTCGGAGGACTCGTATCGATCTCGATGGTGACCTAGATTCTTCAGTATTGACATGCTCACTTTTGACCACATGCAGGGAAATTAGTCTTACTGGACCGTCATTGACAAGACTGACTTGCATCATGGCTTGGAAGACACCATCTTTGACTCTGTCCAAGCCGTGGTGTTCACGAACGCGACTCACAAAATAGTCGTATAGCTCCTTTGCAACTTCTGGCTTCGCCGCTCCGTGGAAATCAGGCTTCGTGCCCTTTCTTGTGTTGGCCATCAGTGTGAATTGAGACACGCACAAGATCTCCCCCTCGATGTCCTGAACGCTCTTCTTCCAGTTGAGACCAGACTCGTCTGGCCACAATCTCATCTTTACGATTTTGGAAGCCATGGTTTCGGCATCCTTCTTTGTGTCATCGGGTCCAATTGCAGCGAGAACAAGAACTCCTTTGCCGATAGCTGAAACGGTTTGACCATTGACCGTGACGGTGCTAGATAGGACTCGCTGGAGTATTGCTTTCATCTCGCCGACTTGGGGTGATTTTCATTCACAAGGGTAGCCTCAGAATTCACTAGAAGGCAGCACAGATGAGCAAATGGCCGGTCGATAAGTTTCTTTAAGAATTCTCCTGCGGTCTTGAGATACCATGTGCCATCAACCTCGTCAGTCCATGGTCTTGGCAGCTGGTAGGAAGTGTGCAAGTTGGGAGGTCGCTTGCGGTCCGTGTATGTCGTTTCTCAGCCAGGAAATGGCGTCTTCAGCACAATAGGCGTGTGCGATGACAATGAAGGATGGGAGAGCAAAATGGCTGAGGAACTGGCGGTCGAACTGGTTTCATGCCAAGACCACAGTTCGCCTAAAACAGCTCATCACGTGATCAAGAACCTCCCGTCCCAACCTGGCATGCCGCAATAGACGCAGCGCGCGGCTGCCACTACCGCACCCAGGCCTAACTACAACACATATCTATGCGCCATCGGTGCACCTAATATCTCCCTCCTCCGGTTCTCGTATCCTCGCCGCATCTCCCCATACCTCTATTGATGTCCCGGAACCATGGCGTCGCGGAAAACACAACAAGAAATCGACAAAACCTTCAAGAAGGTCGACGAAGGCATCCAAGCGTTCGAGGCCATCTATGAGAAGATCTACTCCTCGCAAAATGCCGCGCAAAAGGACAAACTCGAGGACAATCTCAAGAAGGAGATCAAGAAACTACAGAGATCCCGCGACCAGATAAAGACGTGGGCTGCGGGCAATGAGATCAAGGACAAGTCTGCACTGCTGGAACAGCGCAAGCGGATAGAAAAAGTGAGGCTTTCCGTGGAACAGACGCTCTTGGGGCGTGAACTGACGCAGATATAGTGTATGGAAATATTCAAAGCGGTGGAGAAGGAGATGAAAACAAAGGCATTCTCAAAGGAAGGGTTATCGCAGAATATCAAGCAAGATCCTAAGGAGAAGGAACGAGAAGAACTCTGCGACTTCCTGTCCGATCAACTGGATGAGATCAACAGAATCCTGACTGAGGAGTTGGAACCCGAAGCTGGCACCCTACAAGCCGCTCTCAAAAAGAAGCAGAAGGACAACTCCAAGGCTGATCGACTTGCGGAGATCGAAACCATGACCGAGACCTACAAATGGCATGAATCACGGCTACAGCTTCTCCTACGATCGCTACAGAACGGCAACGTCGAAAATGACCTAGTGGCATCTATCAAATCCGACATTGAAGAGGTGGTAAGGGAAGTGCGAGACCCGGATTTTGATCCGGAAGCCTACGAAGGCATCTATGACGATTGCAATCTGGACAGCGAAGAGGCGCAGTTTGGACTGAACAACGATTTGGACAGAATATCGTCTCAGGATGCGCAGTCCATACAAGAAGACGTCGAGGTGGATACGACTGTACTCAAGAAAACGAAATCAGAAACGCACACTGCCACACGACGACCTTCTACGCAGCTCAAGTCACCTCTGCCAGCACTGGCTACTCTGAACACCATGCCACCGCCACCGTCAATACCCAAAGACTCGACAATGAAACCGGCACCCATTCCGAATCGGCCCCCAGGAGAGACTTTGAAGTATGCCTCAGCAGCGGCCGCAGCTGCTGCAAGCGACAAAAGTGGAGTGGGCATTGCTCCTCTTCCTCCACCAGTTGGAGCAAACGCCGCACCTACATCACACCCGTTGCCTGCCCCAGTCAAAACATCTGCAACGAACTCGCCAGCCTCAATGCCAGCACAACCGGTGGAGAAGACTGCCTCGCCAGCGCCTGCCACGGTCAGTATGGACGGTTCAACGTCTCAAGAGCAATCCAATCATTCCAAGTCTCCGACTTTGAGCTCCACTAGCGCCCGGGCACCAAGCGTACCAAGCAGCGTCCCTCCGACGCCAGCTATGGAGAAATCAGAGGCTGTCCAAGAGCCTGTGATAGCAGACGAGCTACCAGCCACAAATGGTGATGTGCACGAAGACCCAGCCGGGGTGGAGTCGATCTATCATTTGCCTCCTGGGCTTCAAGATCTGTTAGACTCATTTGAGACGACCAAAAGTCGAGCTGCTCAGCCTCCATCACAACTAGCCAGGCTGCTGCAGGCGTCTCAAGAGACTTGTCCGGAACCTTCCGACAGCGATCGACCCCAATACTACCGGCCAACGTTCAAGTACAACACACCAGCGCACTATCCTCAGGATGTCCTCCCTATCTTTGACGATCCGGCCTTGTACGAAAACCAGAGGCTGGAGACAGACACCCTGTTTTACATATTCTACTATCGGCAGAATACCTACCAACAGTGGCTGGCCGCACGCGCTCTCAAGAACCAGAGTTGGCGGTTCCACAAGCAGTATCAAACGTGGTTCCAACGTCACGAAGAGCCCAAACAAATCACCGAGGAATATGAGCAAGGCACATATCGCTTCTTCGACTATGAAAGCACATGGTACGCATGATAGCAAACCCCATCATCCCCTGACCGCCTTTCCGTTCTAACAAGTTGCAGGATGAATCGTCGGAAAGCGGACTTCAAGTTTGTCTACAAGTTCCTTGAAGACGATCTGTAGGATAGTTCAATCAGCGGAGCGCTGCCCGTCGGCCCGCTGCATGCATAACAACTTGCCCAGTTTGGGGGAGAGGTTTTGTGATTACCTCTCAAAGAGTCAACAAAGCTCGAATTCTGCAACTTTCCAACCCTTGTTCTTGACATTATATGCTTTTTTGTGTGCCACACCCAGCACACGGGGCTCGGCCTTGCCTCGCTTGGGACTGGGGGGAGGGAGGCTCCGCTCAGGGCGCACTGGGGGAATGTGTGCTACTCGTGTTTCGATTGTTTGCCCATGTGGCAGACGGCAGCCTAGCTCTTACCACCGCCTCACTTTTGGGTGTTACAAGGAATTGCCTTGCCCCGGATGGATCGAGAGACAAACAATGAGGCTCGTCTCGACTTGACTGGGGCTGTGATTAAAAAGGCATCCACGCTAGCTTGTTTGCGTTAGTATCCGCAATGCTCCCACCACTTCCACCAATAGGACGCTGGTATATACTACCTCAGCCTCCTTGCCCCACACGCTCTAGTCCACATCCTATACGCTATTGACTAAGGTACAGAGCCGCTTTGGTCCGCGGAAAGGCAACCATGATGCTTCAAGTTGCTTCAGTGATCCGGAGCAGATCTGGTACGAACACTGCCCGCGTGCGTGTGCGCGTTTCTGCCCATAACCGCTCAAACCTGAAACGTTCCGAAAAGCCGTTCCGTGCCTCGCCAGGGCGGACCCAGAGAGAAAAGCGTCGAGTTACCAGGACTCGTACCTGGGTCTTGCACCCAAGTCTGGGTACCCGGGTTGGAGCCCATGGCACTTGTCATGTCGTGGTCACCTTGTCTTTCAAAACCCCCTCGCTTAATCATGCCACCGCTGCGTCTCGTCGATCTGGCCGTTCACTTTCCCAACTGGGTTCGGGGTCGAGGAATTCAAATATCGAGGCAGTGTTACCCTCGACCCCCGTCTGCCCGATGATGCGTGAATGCTTCACAGACGATAGCAGCAAACTGCAGGTCCAAATCTCGACAGGGATCGGGGGTCCACCTCGAGCAAGCGAGTGGGCGAATGAGCGAGTGGGCGTCTTTCTCCCAACACACGGGTGAGCAATGCTTTCCTCGAGGGGAGGAGCCCTAGAAGCTAGCCTCACATTGCGGACACGCCGCGACTGATTGGACGCCGCGCCAGACGAAGCCCACTTGTGACATTAGCCCTGGGCTTCCATTTTATCCGTTCTGCTTGGAAGTCCCATCGATTCAGCGACCTGATCGCTTCAGACCGCTAGGCTTGTACAAGAGCATCAGGTGGCTTGCAATCGAGCGCATTCTGTCTCCCACACGGGAGTACACTTTGGCGCTAGGGTCCTGCATTGTCCTCTGTCGAGTGGTTCCCTCCGGATGGCCCAATCGGCCTGATGACTCCAGCAAGCCATCGGTTCCCAGGATGGCCCGAGTCAAGTTCCTAGCCCTGTCGAATCCTCTCTTGTGTCCCAATGTCGTTAACTATCCGGTACAGCCTCCCTTCGCAGCATAGCTCGAGTTTGCCTTGTCTCCGAAATCACGTTAGCTAGCAGATACTTGAGCGAGTCTCTCCTCCCTGGCTATCGGAGGTTCTGGGGGTCGGAATACCAGCATAAGGCTGAAAGTTGAAGCCCAAGCTCTTTGCGTCCATCACATTAACAGCCGCCTATTCCTTTTTTTTTGTTTCTGGGTTGGGTTGCTGAAAATCCTTCTCGTCTGATCAAAATCTGGATAGTCAATTGTTCTCTGTGCTTGGGAAAAGCGTGAAGAATCATGGGCAGCTACGACCATCGAGATTTTTTGAGGGACGATTACGGGCCGGATGCATATTTCACTCAACATGCTCTCTCGATGAGTGTGCCGGAGGCTTCATCCGGTCTCTCAATCAGTTTGCCAACTACCATGTCATGTCAGCTGGGAAGTCCAACATACAGCAACAGCTACTGTACTCCACGCACTATAGCGCCTCAGACAAGTTACATACTCGCTCCCCCAACCCATGGATACCACTCTGAAGAAGCGTATGCCATCACCGGAAACTCGGCTAGTGCAAGGGGTCGAAGCTACAGCGGAGCAAGCACCGTCAGTGCGGACTACAGTGTTGCAAGTCAGGATGCAACGCCCAGGTCACCCTACGCTTTCGTCGAGTCTTGCGGCGAGTATCGATTGTCAGATGGCAGCCAGGTCAATCACATTGGCAGGCCCACAATGCCTTCTCAGGGTAGATCACCAGTGATTCGGGAGAAGAAAGAGGTTGTGCCCAAACAAGAAGGGGACGGAGTCGTGTGCCCCAGCAGCAAGTAAGTATTGGGTCATTCATATCACTGAAAGTGGCTCGCTCGCCGGACTCTGGGTTTCGGTCTCACAGTAAAACTTTGGACCATGTCAACCCCTGACATTCTGTTGAACAATTCTAATATTTCCACAGGGCTAATGCAGATAATCGGACGTTCTGTCCACATGAGGACTGTTTGGGCGAAGACGGGAGTCCCAAAAAGTTCTTCAGCCGCAAGGCAGATGTCACCAGACACTATAAGTCTCGCCACGACATCAAGTACATTGACTGTCCCAAGAAAAACTGCGAGAGAAAGGGCAGCCAAGGCTTCACCAGACGAGACCATCTGACCGAACACCTCCGAGGATTCCACATGGAAAAGATTGCAAAGAGACCGGTTGGCAACACCAAGGCCAAGCGAGGTGAGAAGCAGGCGAGCGAGGAGAGCAACGGGTTTAACAGCTCGTCTGAAGGTCTCACTCCGCCGGACCACGGCGAGGACGTTTTTTACTTTGGGTCTGGAAAACAGGGGTTTGCAGGACCCATTGACCAAGGCATCAAACAGGAGTCTGCACAGTCGTCTGACGAAGAGGGCGACGACATCTTCCCGGCCTCTGACGACTATCTTTCCAAAAGGACGAAGAGGTTCAAGAACGCCGTCCAGAAGCGCAAGAGTAAGGCCAAGCAGGAACATCCCATCGCAATAAGACAAGGCAATATGCAGCCTCCCACATCGGCTGGGGTAGCTCAGCCTCATCTTCACGGACTCAGTTTCCAACCGGGATTCACAACCTCACAAATGATGCCAGACGCCACGACATATACCACGCACCATCAGCAACATCAGCAGCAACATCAACATCATCATCAACAGCAACCGCATCAGCAACATCAGGGCTACACCACAGGCAGCATGATAAGTCCTCTCTACGCCGCCACCTCGAGGATGGATTCCTTCTACGATCCCTCGTCCATGCCCCAAGCGTACGAGAACCTGCCCACTCAGCCGATATCACGCTATCGAGGCGACTCTCTCGACGGCTCCCATTTCCAGTCCATGCAAGAGTGAGTGAATGATATACTTGTATGGCGAAGAGGAAAAGGGGTGGCAGGCGCACACGGGGGACTCTGACTCTGACTCCAGCTCTCTCTCTCTCTCACACACACACACACACCTGAAGCTCTTCATCTATGCTCTTTGATCTCTGATCTCGATTGGATCGACTCTGGGTTGATTGGCCGTTGATCAACAATCATCTTGCGCTGTTTTTTTAATATCAGAGGATGGATTAGATACACGACCGTGACGAGCCTTTGATTTTTTTGATTTTTCCCCCTGGTATGTTTGAGGCCGACTTCACTTTCCGTGTGTTTTGCAGGGCAGGGCAGGCAGGCAAATACAAGTCAAGGCAAGGCAAAGGAAGGGAAGGAAAGGGACGGAAGGGGAG